GCTAGCAGTAAGAAATCAATAGTATAAAACAAAACGGGCGGAATTGGCCGAAAAAAGGACTGACAACGTAGTATGGCGTGGCCCCAACATCGTGCATACGCGCGCAGTTGTGGGGCTATGGGATGTTTTCATTGATGTAAATTTCAGGCCAAGCGAATGATTCTTTGGTATCTTACTCTGACCACATTCTTTCTTTCATCGTCTTTCATTGCATACGCTTGGGTCACAATTGAACGAAAGGATCATCAGGCAAGCATTTTTTCAAGGCAGTATACTTACAGTATGTAAAAACCGTTTATCTAGGTTATCTTCTCCGTGCTTGCCTTCGTCGCTGGTCTTGTCATTCTTTGGCTAGGCAGAAAAGCTGCAAATGCATTTTATAATTGGAGAATCTCACGAAAGCGTCAGGTATCTGTCGTTTCCTGCGGTTTATATATCAAGTAGGTGACTATATAGCACTTTATCTGCAGCATAGCCCCCCGAGTTGTTGGAAACGTGGTATATGTTGCAGCTAAAGTCCTCATCCTTATACCAGTCTGCATGCTTGCTTTTCTGACAATTTTCCATTGTGTTTTTTTGGAGAATTTCTATAGAAATTCGCAAAACAGCCTTTCTTATAAATTACATTTTTGCTCTGTCTTGCCTTGCAGCTCGAGAACTGGTGTTTGTAAATTTGCTCATACTGGCTGGGATTTTTTTTCCTTAGGACAGCTAAGTTTTCAAGATTTCTGATAGTTACACCGGTTATCATATGGGCTTCTGTAATAACAAAACTGTTTTAGCAGATTGAAAGAAACTTCAGATCCAATCAATTGTGGCTCAGTAGCTTTTGACCAATTATATAGGTGCTATTCACATTCTAAGATCTATCGTTGACGTTCCGCAAACTACGGATCATTTGTTTTTCTCTATATGTACATTTGCTTGAATTTACAGGGACTTGATAGTCTGGTTGCTCGTAAGAAATCTCTGCTGGAAACAGTGAAGGAGACGGAAACATTCAAGGTAATAATGCCAAGTAGGTAAACCAATTTCGAATTGTCAGCGCAAAATGATGCTTGAATTTCTGAAAGTTTTGGTCTGTTTCCTAGATATGTATATTAAG